AGCCAATATACCATGTTTGGTTTTAGCCCCCATGTTTTTCCATAGGTGCGTCTGGCGAGCATCAGTCCTACCTCCGCTTTCCTCTTTATGCTGTCCAAGTGTTGGTTCCAGGCAGTTTGGAATCTAGGATTACTCCCAGATATTTATCCTCTCCGACACTTGTATTCCTTCACCTCGAAGTTTTAGAGGTCCAAGACCCTACGTTTTAGTCCTTTTGGTGAATGCTACTATGGTCGATTTGGATGGGCCTATGTTGAGCCCTTCTTCTTCGGTCCATCTTGTTATGATTTTCAGGGCCTGCTGCATACATTCCTTCACTACATTATTGTATTTACCTTGGACTAAGATGACTAAGTCGTCTGCATAGCCCAGTGCTTTATACCCATTATGGTCCAAGAGATATAGTAGCTCGTCCATTACAAGGTTCCATAACAGAGGGGATAGAACCCCCCCTGAGGACAGCCCCTTGCTATCCGTGNAATGGGAAAGTCATTTCTATTTATAAAAAACACTGTCCCGATTACATGGAAAATTATAGACCAATAACGATTTACAGTAGTTTCTCGAAAGTTTTCGAATATGGATTTTTGGACAGGCTGATGAATTTTATCAATGAGCATAATATTTTGACAAATACCCAGCACGGTTTTCGACCTGGTAAATCAACAACTAGCGCAATCTATGATTTCTATGACAATCTCATAAACCATAAAGAACAAGGAGAGGTCCCAATGGGCATTTTCTGTGACCTGAGTCGAGCTTTCGGCTGTGTGGACCACGATATTCTTTCATCAGAGTTGTATAACTATGGTATTAGAGGTGTTTGTCTGGCATGGTTAGAATCATTTATTAGATGTCGTTCTCAGTATGTGAGTCTGAAACATCATCAAAATAATATAATTCGTAATGTTACATCTGCCAATATCGATATTAATATAGGTGTCCCACAGGGATCTATTTTGGGCCCAGTTCTTTTTATTTTATACATAAATGAAATCTCAAATTCCTTTCCGGATATTGAGATGACTATTTATGCAGACGATACTTCTCTACTGATTTCCAACAAAAATCAAATAGAACTAAAAGAAACCTGTGAAACTGCTATATGCCAACTATCTTCTTAGTTCAATCAAAACACTCTTTATTTTGATGCAGACAAAACTAACTTTGTGAAATTCCATAGTCATCAGTGGGAATTGGTAGATTTAGATATAATTTTGAATAACACACCTCTGCCTATAAATAACAGCTGTAAATTCTTAGGATTATTCGTTGACTCACATTTAGATTGGAAAGAACATTGCAAGGTCATGATTTCCAAACTTTCATCCCTCCACTATATGTTCAGAAATCTCAAAGTTGTTTTGACACAGCAACAATTAATAAACTTATATTATGCACAAGTGGAAAGTCGAGTGAGGTATGGTATTTGCCTATGGGGAGACTCTACATTGTCGAATAACGTCCTCGTATCACAGAAAAAAATCATTAGGTGTATTGCTGGAGTGGAAAAAGACTATTCTTGTCGCGAAATCTTCAAAATATTTGAAATTCTGACCTGTACAGGCCTCTACGTATTTGAAGTCTGTATTTTTGTGTTCAAAAATAGGGATTTTTTCCTCATAAACAACGATTTCAACGAATACAACACACGTCGTAAGGATTATTTACGATTACCACTCTCTAATAAATGCAATATTTCCTATAAAGCTCCAGCTCGAATCGGCGCAAAGATTTTCAAAAACTTACCTTCCTCCATTAAAAGCTTAAAACATGAACGTACTTTGAAAAAACTCAAAGAATACCTGGTTGAGAAATGTCTATACTCTTTAAATGAATACTTTTAACTTGAATTTTTATTTAATGTGAATCTGTATTTTTATTAAGTCAATATTCTGTGTATTATGTATATGTATATGTGAACATGTCTTCGTACTGTTATATAATCCTTAATGTACTGTTATGTTCCTTTTGTACATTTCTTTATTTAAATCCCGACCGTACTACCATGCGGTTGTAACCATGACTCTTTCTTATACGACTGTATGTTGTCTTAAAGGAATAAAGTGATTTGATTTGATTTGATTTGACCTTTCTGGGTGAAACCATCACAGTAGAGTACCATTGTGAGGAAATCGATGAACTGTACTGACAATTGCGTTGGCAGTAGCCGGTACTGGTCAGCAGAAAAGGTCCAATCCTGCTACACGACAACGCCCGTCCGCACGTTTCACGAATTGAGCGTCGACATTCTGCATCGCCCACTATACTCCCAGATCTCACGCCAACCGATTACCACCTTTACAAGCACTTCGATAACTTTCTCACCTGTAGAACCTTCGCTTATCAGGACCTAGCGAATACGGCCGTCGTCGACTTCATCGAATTCCTAGCACGAAAATTTCATGCTGACGAAATTGCTTGACTTGTGTCACGTTGGCAAAGGTGCACTGATTCAAATGGCGCTCATTTCGATTATAATAAATGAGCATCTACTGAGATACATAAAAATGAAAAAACGTTTTGAAACAACATAATATTTGTGTTCGTGTTCTCATATAGGCTCTCATTTCGTATTCAAACAACATGACAGTTTCCTAGAATGCATTTTCGGTTTGTGGTCAAACTGAAATGGAAACTACATTATGTACGAGTATATTCAAATTTTTTATTCAATTTTGAATAGGAACCTCGGTGAAATGGCTTTGCCTCCATGCTCACATATTGAAAACATCACCTTCCAACCAGAAAATAACATANGAGAACTACAGCAGATTTTCTTTGAGCTTGGTTATTAAATTCGCTTCATTTATAGCTGCAATTAAACATGGATTCAAGATACACCTTTGCTCAGTGTTTTCCGATATCTCTTGCACAGAAAGATAATGACATAATTCTTCTTTCAAATTATCTAACACCGTTTTCATACCAGGTATATACGCATCCGACTTCTTCAATATAAGACTGTGTCGACGAAAATGAATGAAAGTTGTTTTGATTCATAGGGTTTATCTTTCTCATTTGGATGTTTTGTGTTGAGGAAGCGCGCTAACTTCCCTTGATAAAGTTTCAAAGCAAATAACGTACTGCGGTTTATTCTCAATCACAGTAAACCCGAATTTCAAATAATTGTCATCATAAAGACGATTTTTTTTTTGGTTTTGATCCACCACTCCCGCTAGAAGTTGACGGTTCTGTTGGTCTTTTCTGGAATTTATCCATTTTCAATTATTACAAATCACTTCAACTAAATACGTGAAAAACGGAAAACAATGATTTGCGCTCGCTAAACAAATCGTTTTGTCCCGCTCGCTCGTCAACTCAACAACTTGCATGCTTTGCACGTCACACCACACTCACTGGACGGCCGGCATCGGCCTTGGTCGTTCTCAACCTATGCGCGTAAATTGCGTTACGCTAGTTGCACACACACCGATTTTGGACGGCCGACTTTGTACCGATCGTCCAAATTCCAATAGTGAACCACATGTGGGAACGGGACCTGACACACACGCCGACCGGTGATCGTCGCCGGTAAAATACCGGTGAGCAGCCGTCCACTACCACTGTATCGCCGGCAGTACCGGGAAGTAGTGGCGTACATGACTAAATATACTCTTGCATACTCACCATTCCAGTCTCGAATGCTCGTTGAAATTGTAGTTACTACGCCTTAACTTCGTTTTGTTAGTGCGTGCTAATTACGACAACAAAGCAACTGATTAGCACGCACTACCAAAACGAAGTTGATGCGTTATTTCACCGAGTATTCGAGACTGGAATGGTCGGTAAAAAACCGGTGAGTATGCAAGAGTGTATTTAGTCATGTACGCCACTACTTCCCGGTACTGCCGGCGATACAGTGGCAGTGGACGGCTGCTTACCGGTATTTTACCAGCGACGATCACCGATGGGCATGTGTGCAAGGTCCCGTTCTCACATGTGGTTCACTATTGGAATTTGGACGACCGGTACAAAGTCGGCCGTCCAAAATCGGTGTGTGAGCAACTAGCGTTAGTTATCAATTGGCGACTTTTTCGATGTAAAAGAATGTTTTTTACGTACTTTATTATGTATGTATATCCTAATTATATCAAAATGTTGTATGGACTGAATGTTTGTAACATGAAATAATAACATACATGAAAAAAGGGTCGGGAGGTCGCATAATATTTTTTCTTGCTAAGGGGGTCGTGCCATGCAAAAGGTTGAAAAACACTGCTTCAGATGATCTGATTTATAGCCAGTCTTCAAGTATGCCCACTGACTATATGTGAAAAGCATCGAAATGAGTGGAATAAAGTGAAAAATGAGTTGAATTGGCTGCTCACCGGTATTTTACCGGCGACGATCACCGGTCGGCGTGTGTGCCAGGTCCCGTTCCCACATGTGGTTCACTATTGGAATTTGGACGACCGGTACAAAGTTGGCCGTCCAAAATCGGTGTGTGTGCAACTAGCGTTAGTTATCAATTGGCGACTTTTTCGATGTAGAAGAATGTTTTTTACGTACTTTATTATACATGTATATCCTAATTATTAAAACGCATCAAAATGTTGTATGGACTGAATGTTTGTAACATGAAATAATAACATACATGACAAAAGGGTCGGGGGGTCGCATAATATTTTTTCTTACTAAGGGGGTCGTGCCATGAAAAAGGTTGAAAAACACTGCTTTAGATGATCTGATTTATAGCCAGTCTTCAAGTATGCCCACTGACTATATGTGAAAAGCATCGAAATGAGTGGAATAAAGTGAAAAATGAGTTGAATAATAGAAAAAAAAGCGGAAAACTATTTTAGAAATATGAAGTTTTCAACATTGAGGTGAACAATATGTAAATAAGTTAATGGGTAATTTTGTTCTGTTGAGGGGAAAATAATGATAGAGAGATACTCATATATTCCTATACTATGCAACCTACCTAACATTTTCTCTTTTCAATTCTGAATCTATTAACGGTATTTCGTGAAATTATCTTTGCATAATGTTGCAGGTATTTGATACGGCCAGAATTCTATCCAGCAATGTTCACCCTAGTGTTCCAACCAAATCCTTTCTTTCACGAACAATATGGAACATATTTTGAAGATCTGAAACAGCTCAGGGATGCAGAATGGGTTGGGTTCTGCCACGAACATCAAAAGATTTGGTATATCACTTGTCCACAGATGACTTCAACAACATTCGTAATGCGGCACGTGAATGTTGACATCTATAAACAACCATCGCAAATGATGGCGTACTATCCATATTTTATGAAGAGTATAGGTTCCAAAACAAAGAAGAATAAAAGCTGCCAAACTACCGAAGACTACGTTTATAGAATCAGGGAGTCCAGTAAAATTTGGAACTACTTTCCCAGTGATTCTCAGTCTATCAGTAGCGCTTTGGCTAATTTGGCAACGAATCGTCTAAATGGAACTACCCATAATATAATTCAAAGGCCATTCACCATCGAAGAATCCGAGTCATACGACAGTCAGTGGCCCGTTGTTGGCCACAGCAGAACTATCAGGCCAAATCCCTCTAGACCGGATAATATATACAAGATTCGTAAACTGGGTGGATCCAGTCATTCGAAGATTGAGAACTATGGTCTTCCATCGAATTCAGAAGCAACAACACCAACAGCTAATCTGTCATCTGTGTCAGACTCAACTAAAAGTGGTATACCATCCACTCCACATACTCGTAATGCATTACAGAGTTTGAATTTTCTAGAAGCTATGAGAAAACCACCTCCACCCTATGAAAGTAGAGTTCTTTCAGCAGAATTGCTTATAAAAGACAAGGTTAAAACTGAAATAGATGAAGAGTTCGAATTGATAGAGACTGTTATTTGGGAAGACGTGATGAAAAACGAGGAAGAATGGTATAAAGAAGAACCAAATACGCCTTCTCAGTAATGTATAATTGATTAATCATTGTACCACATATTTCAACAGAGTTATAATAATTTATTGGAAAAAGATTATATTATTCGAATATTTGATTTGTAGTTACACCTAACTATCAAGCAACGACTCAGTCTCTTGAGCTGCTGATTAATAATTTTATCAAACTGACTTGAATGTTTAGTGGAATGTAATATATATATTGAAAGATGATGTGTAATTTTTTTCACGACAGCATATGGAAAAGTATTATATGGTAGTGTATTCATATTTTTTTCACTTTATTGACGACAACTCGTTACAGTTACTGTGTCAACATTCCACTCGACAAAGGGAAAAACTCATCTTTTATTAGCGTGTTAAAAAATTAATTGGATTAATTGGAAAAATTAATTAATTGTAATGTCAACTTTTGTTTTCCTTGATTTCATTTCCAGGTCATTTATAATTGACCAAGTTTCTTTGATTTTGTTATTCGACTCTCCATTCCTGTTGTTGTAGTACTTATGTTTATCAACTTTTGTTTTCCTTGATTTCATTCCCAGGTCATTTATAATTGACCAAGTTTCTTTGATTTTGTTATTCGACTCTCCATTCCTGTTGTTGTAGTACTTATGTTTAGCTAGTTGGAGAGTGGATCTATAGATTTTTCTATAAACGTTGAAAGTGGAAGAAAATAAATGGTTATTAATAATTTTTTTGAGATAATGCAGTGAGCGCAAATTACCAGAAGATGTCTTCAATCCTTTTGTCAACCAGGGTTTCTTAGTTTTCATTTTAATTTTTTGATTAGGAGAAGACTTGTTAAACACATAAGTTAATTTACTATGGAAAGAAGAGGATGGATCAGTTTCAGTCAATTCATATAAAACCTATCGAAATTTTAGCTACTATTCACAAAGTGAATAAAAGATTCAGTTGAACAACATTTGAAGTTGATTGCTGCTGGAGACATTTTTGAAGAGAAACGAAAATTTCTATGTTTCTTATTACTTTTAATTGTAACTAACGTTACTGTAGTTTTGTTCTGTATGGACATTCTCAAACTGATACAATAAACTACTGAGTTTATTGCTACTGAGTTTATTGTATAAGTTTGAGAATGTCCATATAGCATGAAACTGCAGTAATGTTAGTTACAATTGAAAGTGGTGAAAAACATAGAAATTTTCATTTCTCTTTTCATTATGATCTCCTACCACGTAGTAACGGCTACATCCATCAATTTATAATAAATTTTGGTAATTATAAAAATAATACTTTTCGTACTCGATTGTCCTTAATTGTTCATCACAGAAACAATATTCAGAGATCACCAGACTCGCTTAAATAGTCAACTTTACCAGAAAATACGTTTCTCAGCCGACTGTTTTTAACTTTTTTCATAAAGATCCATGCCAAGCTTAGTAGGCTGCCCTTTAGTGTTATCAATTGAAATACGCATTTTGTGGAAAAATTTCAAGACAGTCCATGGAGCTGGGAATATACACACATCGGAAAAGTATAGAGATATTTTTATAACATACTAAATATCATAAAAATAAATGCATGAGGTCGTTTAATTTCGATTAAATAGGTACATTCGACCACCCTGTAGATTTCTATGGGTTGAACAGAGCCTGCAAAAACGGTAACTAATCTTTTATCAAGTTTTTTACAAATTGTAGGTTTTCGGATAAAATGAATAATCTGAAAGTGTCGAGTTTGTACATTCTATGCAGTTCTTGCTCAGCAATCAAACTGGAAATATTGTGCTTTAACATGGAACGCCATCACTTACCGTTGACTGATGAATAGAGCTGTAGGGCTTCTTCAAGGTGGCATGCGATAAAATGATGTAGCTCTTCGTTTGGGGGTCTCCCAAAGTGTTATCAGTCGATTGTGGCGGCGTTTCCGTGAAACTGGCAGTCCAGCCGAACAACATCCAGGGCGAGGACTACAATTGCAGTTCAAAAGCGATTTTTGGTCTCAACCGCAAGAAGACAACCGACAATCACAGCACCTGAGTTGGTTAACGTGTTGCAGCAGACGTACCAGGTAACCATTGGTCGTGATACTGTCAGAAATCGACTGCATGAAGCAGATCTCCACAACAGAAGGCCACTTAGATGTCCACCTTTGTCGAGAGGCAATCGCGGCAGAAGATTACAGTGGTGTCAAGAACATCAAAACTGGGATGCGAATGATTGGGCCATAGTTTTGTTTACAGACGAATCCAGATTTGGATTTAATCCAGATTTTCGTCGAGTAAGACTGTGGAGACGACCTGGAAATAATGAACGTTTGAGACACGTCCAGGAAGTCCACACATACAGAGGTGATACAGTAATACTATGTGGCGGAATCATGATCGGCGGCAGAACCGATCTCGTTTTTCCAAATCAATCCCACACAGCTAGACAGTACCTCGACACCATTCTTCTACCTATTGTCCGTCCGTTTGCTGGTGCTGTTGGTGAAAACTTCCACCTAATGCACGATAATGCTCGTCCACATGTCGCGCGTCTAGTGACTGACTGGCTCACCAACGAAGGAGATGATGTATTGCCATGGCCAGCACAATCACCGGACCTTAATCCCATCGAGCATGTGTGGGACATGCTTCAACGAAGAATTACTCCGCATATGGGGAACATTCACACAACGTTTCAATTGAGAGAGCTTTTAATCGCTGAATGGGCAAATGTACCTCAACAAGACATTGACAATCTCATATTGTCGATGCGCGATAAATGTAGGGCCGTAATAAACTAGCGTGGAGGCCATACTTTGTACTGATTCCAATTTTTTTTTATTATGATTTTTTTTCGGGGTGCCAAAGAAGAGCCATATTTTTTTTTAGTTTTGCCTATATGCGCACTCAGTATTTTTAACCATTTAATAAATTTTGTTGTAAGTTACATCCGTTTAATAATCACCCGTCAACTTTTTTTTCACTGAAGCGATCTAAAAAAAATTATTACCATTTTTAAAAATATCCCTAGACTTTTCCGATGTGTGTATTTTCCGGCCGAGATAGTTGGCTTAGCTATTTTACAGGATTCGTTGAACTGAACAAAATTGTTTCGATAGAAATTGTCAATATTCTCAAATATTCTTCGGGAAAATTCAATGTTTGCCCCTTTTGAATAATATTTTTTGAATTATAACAATCAATTGAGAACTATACGATTTGAGTGAACTGAAAGAGTTCGATAGAATTATATCTTTACAAAAATTCGATAATGAAAATAGTTTTTCAAATATAAGAAATACAATTCTCCTCAAATCCTCAATACCTTCTAAATTACTGAAGTTGTGGTGAACTTGCTTCCTGCTTGCTGTAGAACTGTATGTGATATTTTGAGTAACTTTAGAAATATTCTGAGTATAGAAATTCGTCTGTAGTTCACTCAGACATATCGAATCGCATGTCAAAGCTATTCATATTCTGTCAAAAAAATAATCATTATTGCGTATATATGAATTCAAACAGCAATCACTACATCAAGTTTTGTCACGCTAATGAAATAAATGTGTCAAAACTGTGCCCAGATAAGCCAACTATGCAAATATTTTCGTTGCTGTTTTCGCATAATGGGTTGGTTAGTTCGTTGCACGTTAGATAAAACTTTCTGAAAATTTCAACATGTTCATTGCACGAATTGGCATGTGGAGCAGAAATTAAAGAAGTTAATAATAGTATAGCATATTGTAAGTGGAGAAATCTTCAAATATTCGGGTTTGTTTACCAAATAGATATTTCTCCTCACAAACTGTGTTCACTTAAGAAATATTTGCCGGAGAAAATCAGAGTGGAAAAAACAAATACTGTTGAAGATACAATAAATATACCTAGTGTTTTGCTGATAGTGGGTCTTGTTTATTTTTAGGCGACACTTCGTGAGTTAGTCTAGCGTCATTTCATCCAATGAGTACATCTAGGAATGATATCTGCTGGTCCTGTTCAGTCTCCATGGTGAACTTGATGCTGGGGTGTTGAGCGTTCAAGTGGTCTAGGATTAAGGTTTGAAGCTTATTTTCCGTGTTTCCAGGTGACGAAGATGTCATTCACGTAACGTAACTAGGTCAGTTTTGATTCAAAGCTGTTGATTGCTTTCCTTTCGAAACGTTTCATATAGTAGTTGGCTATCACTGGACTGAGTGGACTTTCATCATCATGCTATCTAGTTGCTCATAGTAGTTTCTGCTTCATTGGGGGAAACTCAGAGACATGCTGTGAAGAGTCCGACTATATCACTTGGAAACAAATAGGCTAGCCCCTTCAGAGAGTATTCCAGTGGGACATTGATAAACAAGAACACAACTTCAAAGCTGACTAACATATCTGTATGAGATTTGATGGTTGGCAATTTGTTATCTTGTTAACACGAAGTCCCTTACCGATACCAAATGAATTGCTACAACGGCAGCAGTTATGGCTCTCTGCGAGAGTGTTTTTTCCTAACATATTGCAAATACTCATTCCTAGATGGAAATCACTCATTGAATTCGACTAACTTGATTTCGGGTTTTCAAGTGATACCAATGAATGAATCACGATATATGTTTGTAAAAAATCTGTTTAAAATCTGTTTTCCATCAATCAGCTGTCGCCCCCATACGAACGACAACTCTCAAAAGTTGAGAAACTTGTGCAAGCCAAGGACTAACGAGGTCTTACCTTTCAACGTGCGATTCTTAACATACATTTGGACATACATTTTTTTTTCTTCAATTATGTTATTCTGAATTTGTTTTGAATTTCTTGAGGTTATGATGCACTACAAACAGAACAGGTCGAGAAATAATGAACTTGTTCAAAATACTCATAACAGGTTGACATTTATGCAGAATTTCTTCAAAAAATCACCATGAAAAAATCCAAACAGTGAAGTATGCGGAACCAAAAGACCTACTGTATCGATAAATCGTTTCAGTGATTTTGGGAGATCATAAAGTGAAGTTGATCGAGATTCCTGAGGCTCTAAGGATATCAAAAGAACGTGTTGGACATGACGTGCATGAATATTTGGGTATGCGAAAACTCTGTTCAAAGTGGGTGCCACGCAAGCTCACAATCGACCAAAAACAACTACGAATTGGTGATTGAAAACCCAAATTTATGCATCGTTATGTGAGCATAGATAAAAGATGGCTCCATAATTTCACACCAAATCAAAATGATCGTCATCTGAGTGGACTGCACGTGTTGAACCGACTCCAATGCTT